ACTCAGGGCCTCCTGGGGAGAAACGGGAGAGGTGGGTGGGGGAGGGAAGTGGGAATTCAGGGTCTTGGGATCCCCTCCCACCTCCCTGGACCTGAGGAAGCAAGACTTGAGGGGCCCCAGCTCTGGGCCAGTGCTGTGAAGGACTCACCGGGGTCCTCGTCTGGGTCCTCAGTGGGGGATCCCTGCGGGGCCTGGGGCTGGGCCGGAAGGACTTTTGTGCGCTTCCTAGGCCGGGCTCTGGTGAGAGTCAGAGTCCCCGGCCCCCTGCGGTAGAGCAGGCTGTCCACACCTTGGAGCAGCTTGTCCACTTGGCCCCCAGGCCCACCAGGCCTGGCCTGCAGCGTTTCCACGGCTTTCTCCTGCTGCCGCCGGGCTTCCAGGCCCTCCACATCAGGCGGGTGGCAGTGGCCCCGCATCACAGTCACCCGCTGGCCCTGGGTGATGGCCCGGCTGCGGCAGCTGTGCAGTGCGTGGTCCCGGCACGTCCAGTAAACCTTGTCCCCCACGGCCTTCTCCCGCTTGTACAGGAAGGACTGGTGCACCAGGAAGCTGCCCCCATAGCACGTCCTCAGGAACTCCAACGGCCGGGGTTCTCCTGGAGGAGGAACCCAGGGCAGTCATGGCAGGCCGAGGAGAGGAGGCTGGGGGAGCATGGGGGGCCAAGGGCTTTTCCCCTTTATGTGGACACTGACTGTGGCTTCCCCCGAGCTGGGCGTGTGTGGGCCCCGCGTGCATTCCCACCAAGCCCCCACCCAGTGCACCAGGGAGAAGGTGCAGTTCCTCTCCTGGAGGTCAGTGGGGAGGCCACGGCTCACGGTGGTTACACGTCACATCCAAGGTCGCACACCCGGGAAGGACAGAGCTGGCTTTGACATCCTAGCCTATGTGTTCAGTCACTCCTGGCCACACTCTTTTTTAGGGCTTGTTTGAAACTTTTATTTAATTTTTGAATAGCACATGCACACGCCATAAAATTCAAATGGTGGCAAAAGATAGACAGTAAAAAACAAGTGTTCCCCCCTCACACCTAGTAACCAGCACAGCAACTGCCCTAAATCCTTAAACCCTCGAATCTGGGTCAGAAGGGAGCCAACCCTTGGGATCAAGCCCACCTCCCACTTGCTGGTAATAAAAGCCACCAAGAAGACCCCAGCTACTGGGCACTCAGTGTCACCACACGTGGGACTGGCGCTGGGTGCTTCCCGCACATCGAGCATCTAATCTCCCTGGCATCTGAGTGATCACCCATCCCCGACAAACTTCCCAAAACCCAAGAGGTTCAGCACCTGTACTGAAACCAGCTGGGGCTGTGATTTGAACCTGGTCCAAAGCTCTCCCCTAGGCAACCTCCCCTAACCTCACGGGCTACCAGGACCACCTGGCCCTGTTAAAACTCAGGTTTCTGGGCCTCACACCAGACCCTGCTGCATCAGAAAGTTCCAAAAGGACTAGAGCCCTTGGTTTTAGAGCACTAGTTCTATCCCCCAGGCTTGATGATTTCTGGGACAGGTTTCTATCTTTTAGCCATGTTGACTTGGAGCACATTACAAACCATGTGGGACCCCACGTTTCCATCTGGGCACAGGTAAGGAGGACCCATGGGTTCCCACTTGCCCCAGAGTGGAGCCCAGGTGCAGGGCACTCACCGATCCCCAGTGTTGGGCGTTTCTTGGGGGGCAAGCTCAGCAGTGACAGGGCTCGCAGCCCCTCATCCTCCTCTGTGGCTGGTTTGCTCAGCACCAACCCGGGGGTGGGCTCTGGCTCCTCAGGGCACAGCCATGGGCCCACCCCTTCCAGTGGCTCTTCCACTCGGCCCCGAGGGCCCTCTGGAACCCCCAAGCCTTCAGGCAGGGCTGGGCCGGGCAGTTTCTGTCTCCGGCGCCGCGCCTCCAGGCCCTCCTCGTCCGGCGGGTGGCAGTGGCCCCGCATCACTGTGGCCCGTGGGCCTCGGGTGATGGCCCGGCCCCGGCAGCCCAGCTCACAGTGCTCACGGCACTTCCAATAGACCTTGTCGCCCACCGCCTTCTCCTGCTTGTACAGGAAGCACTCGAGCACCAGGAGGCGGCCCCCGAAAGGGGTCCTCAGGAACTCCAGGGGCTTGGGGGCTGCTGAGGACAAGAGAGGGCTGGGTCAGCTGGAACAGAGCAAGGCTGGAGGCCAAGGGCATGGATGAGAGCAATGTGGGATGCACAGGGATGACATCCTGAGATCATCACACCAGCCCGAGGCAGAGTCCTGATTAGAGACAAGGATGCTTAGCTCTGAGCAGAGATGGGACCCCAAGGCCACCCCCTAGAAAGGGGGTGTACAGGGCCTATGTCTGAGCATGCAGGGCCACAAAGGGGCCTGGGCCAGGAGCAGTAGGCCTGGAACCCACCTGTATCTGGCTTGCTGCATGTCTGCTCAGGGGCCTGGGGGGTTGGCTGGACTGCCCCCACTTGCTCCTCCACTGGCAGGATCTGGGGGGTCCTGGCCAGTGTGTCAGGACCAGACATCTCCAGGGACATGACACAGTGCCCTCCTTTGGGCTGGGAGTCCACCCCATCCACATTCTCCATGGAGGCCGTCAGCAGGACCAGTTTGGAGAACTCTTTGGGCTTTGTGGGCACTGCAAGGACAACATCTGTGCCTGGCTCAGGGGACTCCGGGGACGGCTCCTGGCCAGCCTTCACACTCTCGCCCTCCTGCTCGCTGGGCTCCGGCAGGGGCATTCTGGGACGATGGCCCGTCCCCCAGGCCACACTCAGGCCCCAGCAGATGGAGTTCTCTTCCTCCTCCTCCTCCCTGGTCGGGAACCTGGCAGTCCAGGGGCTCCGTCCTAAGGAAGGAGGCAAAACCCATCAGTGGAGGCCCCCTTGGGCCTGGGGCTCAGAAAATGGATGTGGGGTGGAGGCAGAGGGGGCTGAAAGGCTGGGGAGGGTCCCACACAGAGCTGGGGAACCCCGGGTTGGTGCTTCCCCTCGGCTGCATCCTCTCAGGCAGCTGGGTTCTGTCACCTCCCCTCCCCAAACGCCACTTTCCCATCTGTAAAATGTGCCACAGGCAGGGCTCTCTGGGGGCTGTTGGGGTGCAGGCAGTGCGGCACCGAGAACCGTGAGCTTCTACAAAGAGAGGCCCGTAGGTGCTGAGCACGGTGGGACGTGTCTTCACGGGGTTTCCCATTTAACCTGGCCCCGTGTTATGAAAGTCGATCACCCAGTGTACAGATGAGAACACTGAGGTACACCAGGATGGCCAACGTGGCCACGAAGTGCTGGGCTGGGAGTCTGGTCGAGGGGGATCCAGAGCCTGCCCCACACAGTACCTGGTGTGCCTCGCCCAGGATGACGGTAACTGGCCTTCCTGAGCACCAAACCTCAGAGACCAGCACTTGGCACATGGGCTCAGGTCACAGACCCTCCCAGAATGCCCGGTGGCCTTCCTCCTGACACTGTGTCACAGGGAGACCGAGCCGGGCACCCGCCGGCGCTCTGCAGACCACAAAGGGGACGCCTGGCTCTGGGAGGCAGGAGTCTCTGGACTCACAACTAGATCCGTCTCTCATCCCAGGCTGGAGGCCCTGGACCACGCAGCACTCAGGAGATGCTGGGGACCCAGGAAGGCAGTGACCTTGTGCCTGAAGCGGGGCTCGCGCTGCCTCAGCTGGGAGGGGACGGGGCTGTAGAGGTGTCCGGAAAATCCACAGTCACTCCGGGCTCCCTGGCTTCTGGCCTGGAGAAGCAGAAAGGACGTATTACGGGGGTAGAGCTAGCATGGAGATGGGGCCCTGGGTATCAGTGTGGGGTGAACATTTTGCTTTCTTGAGGGACTGGGTGGTGGGTGAATGGCTGGGTCTCCCCCACCTCTCCTTAAGAGCCCAGAAGCAAGACCACAGCCTCCCTGCACATTTCAGCTCCCCATTTGTGAGCTGTCACCCTTGGTTCCAAGTTCTGCAATTCCAATGCATTCTTGCTCTGAAGTTCCCTGGTTTGGGGCCCAGATTCAGCTCCCCAAAGCCCGGTCAGCCTAATGGCAGGGCCCCAGAGTCCCCACTAAGACAGAGCCAAGGCTGAAGACTCAGAGGAGCGCCTCATCCCCGCCCCATCCCGCAGTACACGCCTGCTCATCCCAGGGCAGCAGGGAAGCCCATCCTAGAGGGGTTGGGGTGGGGGATGGTGGCGAGACTCAAGGAAATCTTCCAGGTAACGGGCCACCTGACTGAGAGTCCCGGCTGGCCTGCCCTCCCGGGTCATGCCCCTGGACGAGCCAACCCTCGCTCCTCCCATGCGGCCCTTCTCTGCCCTGCCCATCCCGCCCCACACCGCGACGAGGCGGGGCACGGACACGCGGGACCCTGGGGACCAGCCGCGGTGAGACCCGGTGCGTGGCTCTGGGAGGAGCTGTCTGGGCGGAAAAGGGAGCCGGTGGGAGGCCCCGCCCCCGGGCCGCCCCGCCCCCCTCGCCGATTGGCCCCGGCGCCCATCCCTCAGCCGGCAGCCCGCCCCCGGCTGCAGCCCTCTGTCCCCGCACTCCGGATCCCCCCGCGGCTGGAGCGCTCCTGCCGTCCCATCGGCCTCCAGCCTGCGGGGCCAAGGGCGCTGTGTGTGTGTGGGGGGGATGCCTCAGACAACTCGGGCCAGCCGAAGCGCTGCGGTCACTGTCCACACAGCACGCACACTCCTACAGGCCTGGGCCTGGGTCCCCGCCACGCGCGGGGCAAGAGGGGACGCTGTGGGGACTCCGACACGCCATCGGCCTTAGCCTCAAACCATCAGACGCCGAAGCTGCCTCCTCGGGGGCCCAACCAGAGGGCGTTGGCATGACGAAGAGCCCCCACATTCCACGGGAACCGGACCCGGAGTCATGGGTACCCCGAGTCAGGAGCCGGTGTGGTCCCTTCAACTTACAAGTTCTGCCTAAAAGGCTTCCAAGATGCACGCACCTCAATGGATACGGAAGAAATTCCAGCACAACAAAAGGCGAACTATGGCCACCCCCCCCCCCAGCCCCATCTGCGGAAAAGCATGGGTCTGGCGATGACCTAGAATTTGGATTGGATTGACGGTTACCATTCTCAACCACTACGGGACCTTGTAATATAGACTGTCTAATGACCACAAATCCTCCCATAAAGTATGCAGGTCCCCTTGCAATGTGGTCTTGAATCTGGACTGGCTCCAGCCCAGACGGGTGCCTTGCTGTGTGACTTGCTGAGTGTGGCAGAAGCATGCTATGGGGGTTGGCAGTCCTCACCCTCAGGAGACATGGCCCTGAGCCTGCCAGGTTAGGAAGCTGTGTGAGAGGCCACATGTGGGCACGGAGGCACTGCCAGGCATGGAGGAAAACCATCTTGCAGACCCCCCAGCTGTGTGTAGCCACATGAAGGGGCCACAGGACACCAAGGCAGCTGGTGCAATCTGCATGGTGGTCACATGAATGGTCACCCACCTTATGGAACACTGATCAATAATAAACCGTTATTTTAAGCCAGTGAGATCAGGATCTTTTTTTACTCAGCAGTAACTGATACTCTTGGCAAGTGACTGAACCTGGTGGGTTTGGGCTTTTTTTTTTTTTTTTTAAGATTTTTATTTATTTATTTGACAGAGACACAGGAGAGCAGGAACAGAAGCAGAGGGAGTGGGAGAGGGAGAAGCAGGCTTCCCGCTGAGCAGGGAGCCCGATGCAATGCAGGGGTTGATCCCAGGACCCTGGAATCATGACCTGAGCCGAAGGCATAAGCTTAATTAACGACTGAGCCACCCAGGCGCCCCAAGGGTTTTGGCTTTTTGATGGATGGAACAGTAAAGGTTGTGAGATATACATCAAAGTGCTTTTGAACTTCAGGTGCCATGCTACACAAATGTTATATCCCTCAGTTGGTCACGTTTAAAGGGCTGCTAATTCAGTGAGAAGAACAAAAATATTAAGTATAAAAGATAGCAATGAGAATTAAATACTTAAAAAGTCCGTAACGGGGGCTCCTGGGTGGCTCAGTTGGTTAAGTGTCTGGTCATGAGCCCGGAGTCCTGGGATGGAGCCCCGTATTGGTCTCCCTGCTCAGCCAGGAGACTGCTTCTCCCTCTACCTCTGCCGCTCCCCCTGCTTGTGCTCTCTCATGCACTCTCTCTCTCAAATAAAATCTTAAAAAAGTAAAAAGTCTGTAATGCAAAATAAACCAGTCACAAAAAAACTAATGCTGTACGATTCCACTTATGTGATGTCCCTACACTTGTCAAATTCATAGAGGCAGAGTCGGCGGTGTTGCGGGGCTGATGGGGGGTGTGTGGAATGGGGGACTGTTGTTTAGTGGGTGTGGTTTCAGTTTGGGATGACAATGACGTTCTGGCAGTAGATGGTGGCGATGGTGGCATGCCAGTGTGAGGGTCCTTAATGCCACCAAGCTGTGCACTTAGAACGATTCAAATTGTAAATTTTTGTGATATATATTTTACCACACACACACAAATATGTAACAACCTACATGTAGTAATGTTCCTTTTACCTAACATCATTGGTGAATGAAGTTCTTCAAAAAAGGCAGACTTCAAACTCACTAAAGTTATCTCTCCATGATGTGGGCTTTTACCATTTTATGTTTCAGTTTACCCATTGAGGATGGATCTCTTCATAAGCTCTTATCACTCTTCTCTATCTGGATGTAGGGGGCATACATATTTTATCCTGATTTGGAAATAAACATGTCTCCACCCAGTTCCCTTGGTACAGCTGCCCTCCTCCCTTGGGGCCCTTTCTCCACCCTTCGAGTCCTGCTCTCTCTGGTCACCAGAGCTCTCTGCCTCTGCAGTTCTTCGCACTGGGACCACCAAGGTTTTTCGGTCTCCTGTGTCCAAAAACAAGACCTAACAAAAGCCCCTCCTTCCCTCAACAGTTCAACTTTGCAAGAACAGCCCACACTCCTTCCTTCTCAGCCCAGCTGTCTGCAGGCGGCCCGCCAGCTCTGTGGACACCGACCACTCTCTTGTCTGGCCACCACGCAGGGTCGGCACCAGCTGGGTCCATCCGGACACCGCGTTCTCCCTTGGAACCACCTGCACTGGCCTATGTGTTGTCCATCCATACAATGGAATATTATTCGGCCATAACCAGGAATCATGTTTTGGCACGTGCTGGATGAACCTTGAAAACGTCATGTTCAGTGAAAGAAGCCAGGCACAGGGAGGGGCCCCTGGGTGGCTCAGTTGGTTAAGCGTCTGCCTTCGGCTCAGGTCGTGATCTCCAGGTCCTGGGATCGAGCCGCACATCGGGCTCCTGGCTCAATGGGGAGTGTGCTTCTCCCTCTCTCTCTGCCTCTCCACCCTTCTTGCGCTCTCTCTCTCTCTCAAATGGATAAATAAAATATTAAAAAAAAAAAGAAGCCAGACACAAAAGATAGCATACTATATGACTCCATTTATAAGGCATGTTCAGAACGGGCAAATCCACTGACACGGAAAGCAGATGAATGATTGTATAGGACTGGGGGAGAGGCAGGGGAAATTTAGAAGTGATGCTAAGGGGTGTGGGGTTTCTTTTTGGGGTAATGAAAATGTAAAATTGACTGTAGTTGTTCGACTCTGAATACACGGAAAACACTGAGTTACACACTTTTGATAGGGGAGTTATGTGTATGTAAAACATATCTCAATAAAACTGTTTTTTAAAAAATCCTTATAGGGACTCAGGTCCTCAGGGTCACTTGGATGAAAACTGGTTTTCTTTTTCTTTCTTTTTTTTTTTAAGAATTTTTTTTAAGTCATCTCTACACCCAACGTGGGGCTTAAACTTACAACCCTGAGATCAAGAGTCTCACACTGCACTGACTGAGCCCACCAGGCACCCCCAAAACCAGTTTTCTACACCATAAGCAGGACTTTCACTATTGGGCTTGGTTTCCTCATCAAAGAAGAGGGGTGGCATGGATTACATATTAAGATATTGTGTAAGTTGCTAATAGTATATTGTAAAAACTATATACCAATATGTTTAAACTGTTAAGAACCTAATTCCTAGTAAACAGCCCATAATCCTGCCACCCAGATGCACTCGCACTGCTCTGTTTGTTCTTGGATCAGAGCTCTTGAATGACATTTTGTTTCCTGTGGCACATACATTGCATTCAACATGTTGTTTCCTATTTCACCCCACTTTACAGTGGGAGGCCCTCACCTGCAGACCAGATGGAGCCCTTGCAAAGGACCAAATCATTATGTAAGGTAGGCCCAGAACAGGCAGGAACACACACCTAAATCCTCGGCAGCAATGCTCCTGAAGGCCACAAGATAGCGGTGTTGCTCCTTAGGATGAACGCATTGCATCCTTGGTAAAAAATTAACTGCCTGACAAACGTTTCCAAAACAAGAATGTGAGAGTTCTTCCATGTAGCAAAAATAACTGAAGATTTCCAAAAATGTTTGTATTTACAAAATCTAACAGTTAGACAGCAGATGCAGTTAGCAAAGTCTGCAAATACTATCTTTTCTAAGCTAAGGTTTTCCCCAAAAAAACCCCACCCAAATCCAAGTATGGCTCAGACCCGGCGGGGCCTGTGGCCTTCAGCCCACACGCCTCTCCAGCCTCTGGAGGGCTCTGCTCACAGTCGTCGGTTACGGACTAATTTTATTTTATGTATTCATGGCCTAACCCCCCCCCAAAAACCCCAAAAAAACAAAAACAAAAACAGGGCGCCTGGGTGGTTCAGTGGGTTAAGCATGGGCCTTCGGCTCAGGTCATGATCCCGGGGTCCTGCCATCGGGCCCCGTGTCGTGTCAGGCTCCTTGCTCAGCAGGGAGTCTGCTTCTCCCTCTCCTCCCTGCTTGTGCTTGCTTGCTCTCCCAAAAAAAAAAAAAAAAAAACCTTAAATACCTAGGAAGAAATATCTCAAAATGTTAAAAGTAGTAAGAACAGTGATTTATTTTCTCCTTCCATTTCTTTTGTTTTCTTGAAATTGTGGACAATGTGCATGAACTCTCTGTACCGTGGGGAAAGGGAGATGCTGTAAAGACAAGCTGCATCTCCTCGCTTGGTCATTTGTCCTTTAACTCCATCAAAAGTCTCCTGTGACAAGTCACATGAGAAATTAAAGGGTAATATAAGTGACAGAACAGATAAACGAACAAAAATTGAGGCTATTAAAAATCCCAGTTGGGGACCTGCATAGCCTCAGACATTCCCTCCAAGATATTTATTAACTACAAAAGGAAAGACAGTAACTTGACAGTGGGGAAATCCCGTGGACACCCCCCTATGTGATCGAGGTCAACTTCACCGGTCATAAGACACATCAACACCACGATGTCCTTGCACCAAGGACACCCCACCGTCTCTGTGATACTCTTGCCCCAGATGCACACCCCCACTTTAATCAGACGAACCACATCGAGGGACAGGCCACGAAACAATGACCAGGAAACTTCAAAACTGCTGAGGTCATCAAGGACAAGGGCAGGCTGAGGGCCTGTCACAGACTGGGGGGTGCTGAGGAGACACAACAGCTAAATGCCACGTGGGATGGCGGGACGGAAAAGGACGCTGGGGACAAGCTGGGGAAACCGGAGTCAGGTCAACAGTGTAGGTGAGGAGAACCGTACCCACGGTGATTTCCTGGCTTTGATCTCCACGCAGCATCCGGTAAGATGCTGACAATCAGGGAGACCGGGTGATGGGTATGTGGGAATTCTTTGTCCTATCTTTGCAATGTTTTTTGTTTTTTAAAGATTTTATATATTTATTTTACAGGGAGAGACACAGTGAGAGAGGGAACACAAGCAGGGGGAGTGGGAGAGGGAGAAGCAGGCTTCCTGCTGAGCAGGGAGCCCGATGCGGGGCTCGATCCCAGGACCCTGGGATCATGACCTGAGCCGAAGGCAGACGCTTAATGACTGAGCCACCCAGGCACCCCTCTTTGCAATGTTTTTAAAGTCGAAAATTAACTCAAAATAAAACATTCTTGAAAACCCAAGTTTCAAACTTATAGGCACAATTGGAGTTGACAGAGAAAATAAGTGATGGAGACCTCCTGAGTATAGGGTGAGAGAGAGAGGGAGAGGGAGACACCCTCCTGTCCAGAGCCTCGTCATCCATCCTGGGACCTGCGACCTGAGCCAGAACAAAATTCCTCCGGCATCAGCCCACACCTCCAGTCCAGTGACCCAGCAACCTCCTTGCCAAGCGTCACCATCATCCCCACTCAACTTCTGGGGCCTTGAATGGCTCAGGACCGCACGGCTAGTGAGAGCCAAGACTCCAACCCAGGCCCAGCTGGTGCGCAGCCAACAGGGTGCCTCCCTGTGCCCTGGGCAGCTGCAGGAAGAGGTAAGAAGCGCCAGGTGCAGAGGAAGCTGACGCTCAGGGCTGCAGTCAGGCCTTCAGTGTCTTCAGCTGCACTGATGTGTCCCTACAAACCAGCTATTTTATGGTTTACCAGGGTGACTTCCGGCTGATCTGGCCAATGGGAGACATGGTGGGACACTGGCAGGTGGAGCGAGGAGGGTGTTCCAGAAGCCACCTGCCTGGCGGGGGCTCACCAGGGCTGTCTGCTGCAGCTTTGCAGGACCCCTGCCTGCCACCCTGGAGCTCGGCCTGGCTGTGCTGGCAGCATCGAGTCTCTGCCACCCTCGGGCTCGGGCTCACTCACCATTTCCTGTTTGGCCTCTCAGCTCCTCCACCACCAGGGATCGCAAGGAAACTCCCAGTTCAAATCTTAAAGTAGTTTCTGTTTTCCTGGCTGGATTCTGACTGACACAACCCTCGAGAGTCTAGAGGACTGTGATCATAATATGTAATATTTACCAAATACAACGATGTGCCTGGCACTACCCCCCAAGGGCTCTGCACGTACTATTCCAGTTTATCTTCCAAATAACCCCGTCAATTAGAGTCCACTGTTCTTTCATGTCATAGAGGAGGAACAAAGGCTGAATCTGTGACCAAGAGCAGGCCGATAAAGACAGAGTCCGCATTCAAGACATCGGTGTCTGCCTTCAGGGCCTCACCTCTTAAAACCAGTAAAAATGGTTCTTTTCACATTGAGGATTCTGACCATAGGTATCAATGGAGTGGGTTAAGACTGGTAGTTGTCAGTCAAGGTGATTTGCTTCCCAGGCAACACCTGACAGTGTCCAGAGACATTTTTGGTTGTCACCATGGGAAGGCAGGGCATGCTACTAGCATCTAGTGGGTAGGGCCCAAGGATGCTGCTCAACATCCTACAGTGCCCAGGGTAGCTTCTCCAACACTCCCTAAAGAAGCATCTGGTCTAAAATGCCAACAGAGCCAAGGCTGAGAAACCCTTCTTGAGATCAGTGTTTTAATAAATGAAAAAGAATTTAAAAAATAGAATAGAAAGAGTGAATCCATATAATGAGGTTAAGTATATTTTTCATGCAAGTTTTATTATAATTAGTTGTTTGTGTAATTCTGGTCTTCATAAAAATTCCCCCGGGCCCTTGATAAAAATGCAAATCACTGTATTTCCATCTAAAATTCTGACAGAGGACCTGGAGAGGGATTCAAGAATCTGGATTTTTAGCAAGTACCCCACAAGGCTCTGGTGGACCAGGACTGTGCTTTGAGAAACACCTGAATAGATGCCCTTGAGGAATAGGCAGTCCATCAGTAAGTGACGAGCCTAAGAAGGATTTGAAGGGGCTTTTTTTGTGTGTCAGTCCCCACATTAAGTATTTTATATACATGATCTCATTTAATCTATCACATTGTATGTGCTCCCTCATTAATGTGTTAAATAAAATCATTAGCATCTGTTTATTTTATGTCAGTAGGAGAGTCATGATTTCATCTTTTCTGAGATGATCCTGTAACAATTTATTGCGTTTCACACACCTTGGGCTATTCAGGGGCCCTCAAGAATACAGACAGGAATTTGCTCAAACTCCTAAGTAGTATAAGTGAAATCTGGTGGAGAGAGCTTCTGGAGCATGGCTTCCATTCCTTGGGATAGCAAATACCAGACTTCTAAAAATCCCACCAGATATTCCTTATGAAGGCTTCCAGCAAAGCAAACTCAAGAAGGCCTTTACAGTGAATTAACGTGCTCGTACTTATGCAAACAATCAGGCCAAATCTAATGAGACCAGTCTTATTTTGTGATCAGAAGTATCTTTCATTGAGGTTATGAGACTGTAAAGGACCTTTGCGCCTCAATGGAAACAATGCAGTGTTTAGAACACATCCTTCCAGGTTACAGGATTCTAGTCTTTGAGCCATTTTGACAACTCTGCATAGTGCAGATAACCAAGAGCAATGCAAAATTATTCTAGGCTATAGGCAATAAACTCTCTCTCCATGTAAATAAGGACATGGAAATAATTCTCCCCCCTGAAGAAAAAGCCAGTTTTGCCTCCATGTGCACATTTTAATGTCTGTAGTCTTCTAGAATCTTCTTTGGATTCTCTTGCAAACTGGTTGTTAGATCTTTCTGGTTCCTTGGTCAATCAGTTATGTAAAAGCTTCCATACATGTTCATTCTACATCTAAGTTTCTAAGGTCTAAGGTTCTGCTTTTCTAATTGGCTAGGTCATTGGTCCTATAATCTCTGGCTCCAGTCAGCAATTTTTAAAATTACATGTGAAACATCAATCTGCACTGCATGAAATAAAACTGGGTATTATTTTATGAAATTTCCACTTGTTATACATATGTCTATTTATCGTAGGTGACTTAAATGTATTTTTTTTTTACTTTGGATGGTCATTGCTTTGAGGTTAATACTTGGGTCCTTGTGTTTGCTTTGTAATACTCAATTTTTACTCACTAAAGATTTATTGAGTGACTGGAGTATTTTTAAATCAGGCAGATTTAAATGGAAAGTTTGAAAGCTTCACGGTTTATGCTTCATCACTCTCTTATCCCCTCCCCTCCCCCAGAAATGAGGCACAGAGCAATTCTGGGCACAATACTCAGCTGCTCACTCTGACATTGCTGTCGTGCAGGTGGTCACAAAGGGCTTGGTGTCAACCTAACACCCAAGAGACACACAGTATTACAAACTGCCGGGTGCCTCTCAGGCAAGATCTAATCGGTAAGGTCCTCAAAGTCTGAGCCTCACTCGGCAGCTGATGGTGGGTCAACAGAATTACCTTCACGCACAGAGAGTGAGAACCGCCATCCCCATCCGCCAGTACCCGGGTCCTTACTGCCAGCTTGCTGGGTGCAACACTTGGGGCAAATTCCATCGATTCTCCGGACTGATTTTACCTGCGAAACAGGAAAAGTGGCAAGTGAGATACTGCATGTGAAATTCTTCTATAAACTGTAAATCATCACACAAGGACAAAGAGTTCTTTCTTGCACCCAGGGGTCCTGATGTTTGAAAAAGCTCCTGGGTGACTCCAAATTGCTGTCCCTCTCCCACACATGCTAATGAGCTATGAGGGGTAGAGGTGTGCACTGACTGACTCGTGAACTCTCCTATGAAACACGCATGCACTGTGTGCATACGGGTATCATTCCTGGGTGGTGTTGAGGGTGGCAGTGACCCCCCCCACCCCGGCGATTAAGAATCACTGTTCTAAAGCAGGGCTTCTCAACCTCAGCACCATTGGCATTTTGGGGAAGGGGGGCTGGATGTTCAACAGCATCCCTGGCCTCTGCCTGCTGGATGCAGCACACCCCTGCCCAATGATCGATATTGCTGTATGTCCCCTGGGAACCCCTGCTCCTGAGCACCTGAGAGATGCACAGAGCGCAGAGAGGAAGATTCTACCTCCAGGTCCTTCCAGCCCCAAGTCCTTCAGTCACCAGATCAGAACCTGAGCTTTTATTCTTTCCTTTTTTTTTTTTTTAAAGATTTTTATTTATTTGACAGAGAGAGACAGAGCGAGAGGGGGAACACAAGCAGGGGGAATGGAAGAGGGAGAAGCAGGCTTCCCGCTGAGCAGGGAGCCCGATGTGGGGCTCGATCCCAGGACCCTGGGACCATGACCTGAGCCGAAGGCAGACGCTTAACGACTGAGCCACCCAGGCGCCCCTATTCTTTCCTTTTTTTTTTTTTTAAAGTAATCTCTATGCCCAACGTGGGGCTCAAACTCACAACCTGGAGATCAAGAGTGGCATGCTTTACCCACTGAGCCAGTCAGTGCCCCAGAATCTTAGTTTTTTTTTTTTTTTTTTTTTTACTCCTTCCTCTCCAGGCCTCATGTGTCCTCAAATCTCATTCTCTGTACACCTGGTCACACCACCTCCCATGGCCTTCCCACTGAACAGCACTCCGGGGCTTTGATCCTCACCTACTCCTCAGCGGCCTTTCCATCCTGCATCCAGCCGGGCCAATTCTCCCTACGCAGTGCCAACCAGTTAATCTTCCTAAAGCTGAACTTTAATTATTTCTCTCTCTAGTAAAAATCGTCTCCCTCTCCATTATAAACACTCCACACTCCAGTCCCAACCTCACACACTATCTCTTCTCCAAGTCCGACTAGGAGCTTTTGGAAGAGGAAAAGGATAAACCTGATGGCATCAAACTAGAACATTCAAATCAAGTCCTCGAAGTGATTTTGGCCCTGAGAAGCAGAAATGTCAACATATTAAAAATATACCTTTTCTATGGAATTGAAGGTTACCCGTGATTATCTGATTATTAGAACTCAGCATCCCCCAAAGGCAAGACATAAAGGCGGAGAAAGACGGATGTTTGTTAAAGCAAGGGTTTCAAACTGTGGTCAGAACCATTAGGTCCTGAAATCAATTCCATGGGTTAGCAACAGTCATTTGGAATGGAAAGAACGGAAGAGAACAGAATGGAATCAGAACAAAGGTAGAGTAGATCTGGCTGTTATCATGAGAGATTAGGGTCATTTCTCCCTTTGAACTTATCTTCCAGTAATCTACATCTACAGGCACAAGTTATGCATGGAGAACATATTTCTTGAGTCAAAAGTTTGAAAGTCTCAACAGGCAATCTGCGTAATCAGAAGTGGAAGGAGGGGTGTAACAGCAGCAAAAAGTGCAAGGTCACTGGGACCTACAGAGCCGCGCAGACGGAACGGGACTGGGGTGGGTGCCAGCGCGGGTCAGCGCCGGTGCGGCGGACACGGCCGGGCTGGGGGTGGGGACGAACGGGGGGCTCCCTTGCTGGGGGTGTCAGGGTTCAGTCCGGGGTCGGCTGGATTGGGGCGAAGGAGGAGCCAGGAGAAAGGAGACGAGTCTCGGGTGAAGGACAAGGAGCGGCCTGAGCGCCGGGACACTGAGCTGGGTGACACCACCCCCCTTCCAGCCTCAACAGCCCTCGGGACCCTCGGGGAGGCCTGGCCGGGGGCGCGGCCACGCCGTGGGACCCGGGACCCTCCCCGGCCCGCTGGGGCCCGTGCTCACCGGGCACCGGCCGGGCGGCGGCAGCAGCGGAGCCCTCCCTCTCCGGAGACCGAGCCGCGGCGGGTCCTTTGGCCTCGGCCGCCGCAGCCACAGGCGTCGACCTCGCGGCCCAGGCGCCTCCGGCCACCACAACCCTAGCGCCCGCTCCCAGCCCCCACCTGCCCTCTCGGGAGCGAGCCCCGTGCCCGCGCGCCGCCCCACTAGCCGGGAGCGCGCGCCACCCCGCGGGGAAGCGGACCTCTTGGAACGCCCAAGCGGGCTCCCAGCGAGCATGCGCAGCAGGGCCGCGGGGCCCCATTCCTTGAGCAAACTCCGCTTCTCCGGCTCTTCTGTGAGCGGCGCCGAGCTGGCGGCCTGACGAATCGGCGCGGGGATATGGGGCAAGGGTTTGCGAAAGGGGCGGGGCAAGATCAGGATTGGGCGGGGGCGTCCGGGGGCGGGGCGTCGGCCGGACAGGCGGCTGGGACTGGGGATTCTGGGCGGGGGCTCTGAGACCAGGGAGTTGCAGGGCTTAATTCCAGGCCCCCCGCAGGATTTGACTCCGTGCTCGCTAAGCGGGAGCATTTGTTTAAATATCGTATTAGACGTGTCACTTTCTTTAGCCAGCAGAAGGAAATTTTTTATACACCTTGTTAAAACCTTCAAATGACTCCACCCCAAAGCTGGGCCACCTGGGTGGCTCAGTTGGCTAAGCGCCTCACTCTTGGTTTTGGCTAGGGTCATGATCTCAGGGTCGTGAGATCCATCCCCTAATCCGGTGGGCTCTCTGCTGGGTGTGGAGTCAGTTTGAGATTCTCCCTCTCCCTCTCCCCTGCCCTTCCGCCCACCCCACCCCTTACTCCCCCCACCCCAACCCCATTTTCTTGCTCCTTTTCTAAAAAAAAAAAAGTAAATGGGGAGAAGGGAAAGCTCTTTCTTACAGTAGAAGGTCAACTAAGAAATGCAGAAAGGATGATCACCATTTGTCAACCGTCCTAATTAATAGCTGATTTGGGCAAAAATCATCAATGGCCACTAAAGTTGGAGGGTGAAAACCTAATAAGGGAATGGTATTTACATAATCCCAAAGATACTTATTAATTACAAAGGGGGAAATACGAATTTTACAGTAGGGGTAATGGTTCTCAAAGTGTAGTCTGGGGGGGTTCCTAGAGGTCCCTGGGGATTTTGCAAAGGTGACATGACATGATGTTGTACCAGGTCGATTGCCAAAGCACATATGAGAACCTCTAGTATTTCTTTAGGCCTACGTTAAGGAGATTTGCAAAAATAAAAAAAACAGTGTACAATTCAGTGTTTTTCAGTATATTCCTAAAGATGTGCGAACATCACCACAATCAGGTTTAGAACATTTTCTTTGCTCCAGAAAGAAACCTGTAGCCATTGTGAAGTCCCTCACCCCACGACCCTAGGCAAGTATTCATCTGTCTGTATAGATGTGCCTATATTGGATACTCATATAAATGGAATCATACGATATGTGGTGTTTTCTGTCTGGCTTATTTCACTTAGCCTGGTGTTTTCTTTTTTTAAATTTCTTTTATTTTTTTAAGATTTTATTTATTTATTTGAGAGAGAGCGAGAGAGATCACAGAGGGAGTGGGAGAGGGAGAAGCAGACTTGCCGTTGAGCAGAGAGCCCCATGTGGGGCTCCCTCTCAGGACCCCGAGGTCATGACCCCAGCTAAAAGCAGATACTTAACTGACTGAGCCACCCAAGCGCCCCATGCCTGGAGTTTTCAGAGTTCATCCATGCTGCAGCCTGTGGAAGCATTTTGGTTTTGTAATGGCCAAATAATATTGCATTGTATATATAGACCACGATTTGTATATCCGTTAATCTGTCGATAAGCATTTGGGTTGTTTCCAGGTTTTGGCTACTATGACTCATGCTGCTATGAGCATTCATGTCCAGATTTCTGTGTGTACGTATGTTTTCAGTTCTTTGAGGTGTGCACCTAGGAGTGGAATTGCTTGGTCATATGGTAACCCTATGTTTAGCCATTTGAGGAACTGCTAGACTGTTTTCCACAGGGTCCTCACCATTTCACATTCCTGTGAGCAGCTTATGAGGATTTTGTTTTCTCCACATCCTTGTCAACACTTGCTATTATCTGAGTATAGCCATGTGGGTAGATATGAAATGGTATCTCATTGTGTTTTGTTTTTTTTTTAAGATTTTATTTATTTATTTACTTGAGAGTGGGAACACAAGTAGGGGGAGGGGCAGAGGGAGACACTTAATTGACTGAGCCAACCAGGTGCCCCAAGCTTTTGCAATTTTTTTTTTTTAGTTTGGATACCATTAGTTTATTATAAAAGAGAGACATGAAAATTATTTACATGATGAAAGATTTCACAACTTCACTGGAATGGGCAGCTTCACTTCATGCCATTTTAATAATGATTTCTGTCCACATACTTTCTGAGAATGTCACCATCTCTAAATAAGAAATAATCCTTGTCATCTAGAACTACTTTGGTGCCTCCATATTCTGGGAGAACTTTATCTCCAACTTTCACACTAACTGGATGAATCTCTCCACCCTTTCCTTTAGAGCCCGATCCAACAGCTACTACTGTTGCTTACAACACTTTTCCTTGAGATTTTTCTGGAAGCGTAATACCTCCTTTGGTTACAGTTTCAGCTGTGCTCCTTTCAACTAAAACTCGGTCAAAGAGGGGAAGAAATTTTCTAAACGCCTCCCCTGCCATGACGCCGACCGCTGCAGTAGGTACTCTGCTTTTGCAATTTTTTAAAAAGATTTCATTTATTTGAGAGAGAGAGAGCATGAGTATGGAGAGGGGCAGAGGGAGAGAGAAAGAAGCAGGCTCCCTGCCAAGCAGGGAGCCTAATGTGGGCCTCGATCCCAGGACCCTGAGATCATAACCTGAGCCAAAAGCAGACCCTTAACGGACTGAGCCACTCAGGCGCCCAGCTTTTGCATATTTACTGTTAATTGCTTGTTTTACACTTTGCTCTTACTGAAGTCTAGTTGACGAACAATGTTACATTAATGTCTTAATACATACATAATTGTGTACAACATTGTGACTGGACAATTCTATATACTAGGCAACAGCACACCACAATGAGGGTGGTCACACCTGTCACTACACAAGGTTATTACAGTATCACTGTATTCCCCAGGCTGCACTTTTCACCCCTGTGATTTAGCCAACACATTCTAAAAGCACTACATTTTTACCCCCCCAGCACCCAAACTGAACAGCAAAAACAATGGAACTTCATTTTTTGTTGTTGTTTCTTGTGTTTTTGGTGTCATATCTAAGAAATCACTGCCTCGGGGTGCCTGGGTGGCTCAGTCAGTTGAGCATCTGCCTTTTGCTCAGGTCATGATCCCAGGGTCCTGGGATCAAGCCCCTTGTGGGGCTCTCTGCTCAGCAGGGAGCCTGCTTCTCCCTCTGCCTCTCCCTTCACTTGTGCTCTCTCCCTCTAATAAGCGAGTAAAATAAAATGATCACTCTCTAATCCAAGTTGACAAAGATTTACTCTGTATGTATTTTAAGAGTTTTATACTTTAACTCCTACATTTGAGTCTTAGACCCGTTTTCAGTTATTTTTTGTATATGGGGTGAGGTAGGGCTCCAACCTCATTCTTTTTCACATGGATATCTTTTCCACATAGTGGTCCCACTACCATTTTTTTTTTAAAGATTTATTTATTTATTTATTTATTTGAAAGAGAGAGACACAGCGAGAGAGGGAACACAAGCAGGGGGAGTGGGGGAGGGAGAAGCAGGCTTTCCCGCCGAGCGGGGAGCCAGATGCGGGGCTCGATCCCAGGACCCCGGGATCATGACCTGAGCCGAAGGCGACTGAGCCACCCAGGCGCCCCCCCCAACTACCATTTGTTGAAAATGAAACTATTATTCCCCCATTTAGTTGTTTTGGCTTCCTCGAAAATCAGTTGGCCATAAATAAGAGGGTTTATTTCTGGACTCTCCATTTTATTTCATTGGTCTATGGCCCTTCTTATACCAGGACCACACTGTCTTGACTATTGCTCCTTTTCAGTAAGTTTTGAAATCAGAGTGTGAGTTCTCCAACCTTAATCTTTTTCAGGCTGGTTTTGGCTGTTCTGGGTCCCTTCAGTTTCTAGGTGTCATCTTCTTTTCAGTTTTTTTTTTTTTTTAAGATTTTGTTTGGGGTGAGAGAGAGAGAGAGCGAGAGCGGGAGGTGGGGTAGAGGGAGAGGGAGAGAATCTCAAGCCGACTCTGCACTGAGTAAGGTGTAGGACATGGGCTAGATCTCACGACCCCCAAGATCATGACCTGAGCTGAAATCAAGAGGCTGGAGCTTAACAGACTGAGCCACCCAGGTGCCCCTCTTTTCAATCCTTTTGAGAACAAATCCCTATTTTAATTTTACGTCATTGAGAAAACACTGCACAGCAATTATTTTTGTGGGTCTCTGGCTTTTCACTGAACTCTACATTGTAAACATCCCCTATGTCATAGGCTTATTTTATATGACTAGCTATACAATTTAGTTCTTTTCTTGGTGGATACTGCAGTTCTAAATCCAGCTATTATAAATACTAACCCGTGGCTGGCTTCATTCCTAACATTTGGGAAATCTGGGTGAAGAGCATATAGGAATGCTTTTACACTTCTTGCAACTTTCCTACGGGTGTGAAATTATGCCAAAATAAAACGGCAAAGGGGGACGCCTGGTAACTCAGTCGGTTAGGGACTGACTCTTGATTTTGGCTCCGGTGGTGATCTCAGGATCCCATGAGACCTGGCGCCTCCTCCCTCGCCCACGGTCCCTCCCTTGCCCTCCGGTCCAGCCCCACCCACAGCCCACAGCCGCTGGACGCTTGTCGTTCTCTGACCACCTAGTGCGGTGGGGACCCGGACCACAGCGGGGAGCTGCGGGTCTCGGAGCTGCGGGCTTGGGCGCTGCTTTCCTGGACACTTGGCGGGCGGCGACCTGAGCGGCCCTAGTATCAGCCCAACTGCCGCCCCAGGTGCGGGGACGCCCCCGCCTCCACTCCGCACCGCGCCCCGGGCCCTCTGCTCACCGCGACCCTCCCCAGGCCCGCGAGGACCCCTCGATCCGCCCGCTCCCCTTCACCAGGCCGGAGCCCCCAGTGTTCCGGCTGCGCGTCCTCAGCCTTTGCAGAGTGAAGACGCTGCTCCTCTCCAGAACCCCCCACGCTGTCCGGCCACCCCCGCCCCTGCGCCTCCCTCCTGTTGCCATAA